GGAATCGGGGAATTAGGGAATCGGGGAATTAGGGAATCGCGGAATTAGGGAATCGTGGAATTGGAGAATCGGGGAATTAGGGAATCGAGGAATTAGAAAATCGGGGAATTAGGAAATTATGGAATCGGAGAATCGAACTTCCAATCCATATTTGATTATCAATACGAAATTATCAGACGTTACCACAACGAAAAGGGAGTGAATATATCGATTGGCATAAGAGCCACAGATGGCCGATATTAAAACTTCCTTTTAACATCAGCGTATTGAAAAAGATTGCAAGGGGGTTGAAAAGTTTGCTCAATACTCTTGATGAATAATGCTAAACTGTTTGACAAACTGAAAAACTTCCAGACAAGACTTATTCATGATTCATCGTAATAACAGAAAATAGTATTAAACGAAGATTGTTTGAAATTTTTAATTGGATGTTTGTTCTGACCGAATAGGAACCCTTTGAAGTGTCACGCTTTGCACAATCAAACTATCTTAATCAAGAAGTTTTAACGAGATGTTTGATCAACGGAAAATAATGAAATTAAGTTGTTGCTTTTAATCAACTACTATTAAACAGTAATAGACTCGTGTTTGATCATTGATTAAACTCCTTTAAAAAAATTTTATCTCCATCATTTTCCTTCTTCTCGAATGAGTTTATTTTAATAATAATTTAAGGAACAATATTCTTTATAATAAAACGTTAACTAGAAAAATTTGTATTTAGGTATTTTCTTAAAAAACGAAGCTGTTGCTCAACTCATAACGCGATTAATAACGTTAACATTTATAATTTTATCATACATTGTTGTATCTCGCCCACAGAGAGTTTCAAAAATAATTCGTCAGGGAAGATAAAATTTTCGTGGCGGTAATGGTATAGCTGAAAACACAGAAATTCTGTAATCCGCAGATAGTATATCAAACGAAAAGCAAAGGTAAAAGCGAAACAAAGGTTGCGTTTGTACAGCTGTACACCTAGGTACGTACATATGGAGCCATGTACTACCTGTAGAATTTACCGAATGATGTTTCACAAAGGACTACCCTGTAACGCAGGAAAATATGACGCAGTCTGTTATCAGGATTTCAATCGTTATCACGGCATATGTTAGCAGTGGAATAACCGGACGTTTATTATGCGCCTCAGTCATTTTGTCATCATAGACAACTAAGGATGAACTCGAATTTCTCTTCGAGCACGATTTTATGACGATCCACGCGCAGACCGGGCGAACGCAAATAGACGTGCGTGTCGCCCGAAGAATACCCTCCTTTCAGTATTCTTTTCTTCTTTTATACGCCATAAAGCCCCGAAAGGCTTCTCCCCATTACGACTGACACGAAAATACGAATAAAACCTTACGACATTGTCGTTTCTCGTTCTTAACGATTATTTCACGATTTTTCTTCCGTGTAATCGTGCGTCCTCGCGGCCATCTTGGAATCGGGCACGTGGATGTGAGTGCGTTCTTTCGAGATGTGGAGGTTTATAGATTGGGAGATGCTTAAGATTTTTGGTGTTTGTAGGTAGAGGGTTTTAGGGATTTTGGAATATTTAGATTTAGGGATTTAGGGACTTTGGAATTCAGAAATTTAGGAATTTAGGAATTTAGGAATTTAGGAATTTGAGAAATTGGTAAAATGTGGGGATTGGACAAAGCGGAAATTGGATGATGTGGGAATCGGACAAAGTGAGAATTGGACAATGTTGGAATTGAACACTGTGAGAATTGGACAATGTGGGAATTGGACAATATGGGAATTGGACGATGTGAGGATTAGGCAATGTGGGAACTGGACAATGTGGGAATTGGGCAATGTAGGCATTGGAAATTGGGAAAATTTGAAAATTGCAAAATTGAGAAATTGAGAAACTAGGAAATTGGGAAATTGGGAAATTGGAAAATTAGGATGTTGGAAAAATGGGGAAATGGGGAAATTGGAAAATTGGGGAAAGGGGAAATGGAGAAATTGGGAAATTGGGAAATTGGGAAATTGGGAAATTGGGAAATTGGAAAATTGGGAAATTGGGGATTGGGGGAATTGAGAAATTGGGATATTAGGAAAATGGGGAAATTGAGAAATTGGGAAATTAGGGAATGGGGAAATTGAGAAATTGGGAAATTGGGAAATTGGGAAATTGGGAAATTGGGAAATTGGGAAATTGGGAAATTGGGAAATTGGGAAATTGGGAAATTGGGAAATTGGGAAATTGGGAAATTGGGAAATTGGGAAATTGGGAAATTGGGAAATTGGGAAATTGGGAAATTGGGAAATTGGGAAATTGGGAAATTGGGAAATTGGGAAATTGGGAAATTGGGAAATTGAGAAATTGGGAAATTGGGAAATTGGGAAATTGGGAAATTGGGGAAATTGGGGAAATTGGGGAATGGGGAAATTGAGAAATTGGGAAATTAGAAAATTGGGGAATTTGGAAATTGGGATATTGGGAAAATGGGGAAATTGAGAAATTGGGAAAATGGGGAAATTGGAAAATTGGGGAATGGGGAAATTGGGAAATTGGGAAATTGGGAAATTGGGAAATTGGGAAATGGGGAAAATGGGAAATTGGGAAATTAGGAAATTCTGAGATTGGGAAATTAGAAAATTGGGGAATTGGAAAATTAGGAAAATTAGCAACGAAGAATCGTGCTACCGTTCTGACAAGCCATCAAACTAGTTTTTTACAAGTTCCTCGAGAAAGTTGACGTTGTTTCCCAACAGCAGAAGCGTTTAGCATGTAAGTTATCGTTCGTATCTAGCCGACGTTGCGAAGCGTGTTCAGGAACGCCATCAGCATCGAGTTTCCGATCGATTGCGCGACAAAGTCGATGGTGTTTTTAGAATTAATGGAGGTTCGATCGTGGACGTTCGCAAACAGGACGCGCCTTCGGGACGAAGTAGCTCTGTTTTTTCATTCCCTTTTATCGTCCGTGACTCTTCAATCTTTCGCAGTCTAATTAAGCTACCACTTTTATTTGCCGGTCGGTTTTTATTTTTTGTTTTTATTCAGATTCGATTTAATTCCATCCTGTAAAAGCGGGAATTAAAGCGAACAGTTTCCGGAGAAAAGGAGCAGGGGGGATTGCTGATAAATTATGTAGTAAAACGAGGGTGAACGGTGTTATGAATGGGGCTTTAATCTTAATTTAGCCCGTGAATGAAATGGCCAGGCGCAAATGTTTTTGCATAATGAACATGTGCGTAGAACAGTTGATTGCAGTTTCGTTCGCGGGTTCCCTCCAATTTATACGCGAACGATTCTTTCGGGCTCACGTGAAAAGTCGAAATTAATGGCGGCCGTTTTGTTTAACAACCGAACGTTTCGCTGGTTTTCTTTGCTAAATATATATGAAACTTTTATCGCACGGTTAATTGCGTTTCCCTTGATTGTGATGGATCTACCTCGAACCGGGTAGATTCTTTTTAATAATGCATCAGTCAAGTGTTATGACACGGACGATGAGAATTGAGTATTATACGGAGATTGCTATCGTATCAAACTTGGGGTGGTAATAGATGTGTTAATAATATAAACTTCGTTTTACTTTCGCGGATGAATGGGATACTAGTCGGAACGGATACTGTAACGTTTCAGAATTGATGTTATATGAAATCGACAGATGGGAAAATTTTTTTTTTAAGGGCATGGTCATATTTTTGTTAGGTTATATTGCGTTGAATGGGGTGGAATGTTTGTTGGGTTAAATTTTACTGAAAATTTATATATATAAATATATAATATATTTTTTGATCTTCAGATTATTTAAATAATGAGTTTTTAAGTTTTCACAATTTTTGAAGCACTAACTTCAAAAATTCTCAAATCTTAGAATTTCAAGATGTAAAAGTTTCAAGATTCGATCAAATTTTCTATATTCTCAATTTACAGTATCCCTAGGTCTTAGTGTCTAAATTCAAATATTTCTAGATTACGATAACTTCAAATTTTAGTATCCCAAGAATCCCTAGATCCCAAGATCCCAAGAATCCCTAGATCCCACGAATCCTTAGATCCCACGAATCCCTAGATCTCACGAATCCCTAGGTCCCACGAATCCCTAGATCCAATGAATCCCTAGATCCCATGAATCCATAGATCCAACGAATCCCTAGATCCCAAAATCCCTAATTCCCTGATTCCCTTATTCCCCGATTCCCTAATTCCCCGATTCCCTAATTCCCCGATTCCCTAATTCCCTGATTCCCTAATTCCCCGATTCCCTAATTCCCCAATTCCTTAATTCCCCACCTTGTTAATTCTCCAATTCCTTAATTCTCCACTTTGTTAATTCCCCGATTCCTTAATTCCCCACCTTGTTAATTCCCCGATTCCTTAATTCCCCACCTTGTTAATTCCCCGATTCCTTAATTCCCCACCTTGTTAATTCTCCAATTTCTTAATTCCCCACCTTGTTAATTCTCCAATTCCTTAATTCCCCACCTTATTAATTCTCCGATTCCTTAATTCCCCACCTTGAAAATTCCCCAATTCCCTACAAATATCTCTACTCCTAAGTCCCTTCATCCTCAAAACCCAAAATCCCAAAATTCCTGATAAAAAAATTTGTCGCAACATCCGAAAGTTTCATCAAGCATTTTATCGATCACCCACGGAAGTACGCCCTGTAAAGAAAAAGTTAAAATCGTTATGGTTCGAAGCCCAACATCCGGCTAAGAACGTCGAACACGCAGTTTCTAATTAACGTCTGTTCTAATGCGGTAGACACACGACGCTTTGAAAGATCAGCATGGATCATTTGAACTTTACCGCGATAGTTCAGAGTTAAATTTACTATCCTACGGGAATATGTTTAACTTGCTTAGAGGATCGTTTAGCATAATCTTAGTTTTACGTTGCATCAGGGGTTGCGTCTAATTTTGTGGGAATATAGGAGAACTACCACGGGAAATTTATGTGCGAAATATGCATGCTTAAGTGCGCCAAGAAATCTCGGCGAAGAAAACATTCTTACAAATTCTGTGCGAACTAATATCGGATTTACAAGGTTTCGTATTTAGAGACTTTGAAACTTCACATGAACGAGTTCGTATATTAAGAAACTTTTTTGGGGCAAAATTTATGGAGTGATTTTTAAGAATATTTCAGTTTTTTTAATTATTAAATTTACCCTTAAATGTAGGGGTTAGATGAGTGATTCTTAACAATATTTCAATTTTTTTTATTTATTAAATTTACCCTTAAATGTAGGGGTTAGATGAGTGATTTTTAAGAATATATCAATTTTTTTATTTATTAAATTTGCCCTTAAATGTAAGGGTTAGATGATTGATTTTTAAGAATATTTCAGTTTTTTTATTAATTAAATTTACCCTTAAATAGAGGGGGTAGATGAGTGATTTTTAAGAATATTTCAGTTTGTTTAATTATTAAATTTACCCTTAAATGCAGGGGTTAGATGAGTGATTTTTAAGAATATTTCAATTTTTTTAATTATTAAATTTACCCTTAAATGTAGGGGTTAGATGAGTGATTCTTAACAATATTTCAATTTTTTTTATTTATTAAATTAGCCCTTAAATGCAGGGGTTAGATGAGTGATTTTTAAGAATATTTCAATTTTTTTAATTATTAAATTTACTCTTAAATGTAGGGGTTAGATGAGTGATTCTTAAGAATATTTCAATTTTTTTATTTATTAAATTAGCCCTTAAATGCAGGGGTTAGATGAGTGATTTTTAAGAATATTTCAATTTTTTTAATTATTAAATTTACCCTTAAATGTAGGGGTTAGATGAGTGAATTTTAAAAATATTTCAGTTTTTTTATTAATTAAATTTGCCCTTAAATATAAGGGTTAGATGCCTTAATAATATTTCAACCTTAAAGTTCAACTTTCTCTATGTTATTAATATTTCCTCATTTATTTACCTATATACCTATAAATACTCATTGTCAATAATTTTGATGAACAATAATAAACGTGATCTTCTTACGTGTATTATACGAAACAGAAATACAATACAGTAGCTTAAAAATGTAGAAACATGCAAATTTCAAATAGACAGGCAGTACAAAGTGACACTGGCGCTCCAACAAAGTACAACGGGAGCAACGAAGCTCTTCGGAATGATTAATAGCAATCGTGCTGAATAGCTAAATAAAAAATGATCGCAGTGTAAAATATGAAGGTTGCAATAAAGCGTGGACGATCATTTGTTATTCCGCTCACGTTCTCCGGCAATGAGCATCCAGAGCTATCAGAACACTCTGCTTTCAGGGTATCTCGATCAAACCTCTGGTGGAGATCCTGAACGTGAAGAGGGCTGAAAGGAAGAAACCGACCATGAACGAAAGGATTCACGAACGGGTACGTGTGCTATTCGTCCCCGTGTGCATATCCTGCAACGCGATCGAGCGTAACGAGCTAGATTTCGAGGGTATTTCATGCGAGAACGAAGGATCGATCGTTTAATAAAAATACGGCAGGCGAACACAAAGAAGGTCGTATAACCGCGAACGTTGTATAAATTACAGAGGCCGCACGCTGTTATCGTTAAAGTAAATATCGAGAGGGAAAAAAAGATATATATGTATGGAAGAAAATAGGAGAAGGAAAAAAAGAATAATAGGTCCACGATGCAAGTGGGAGAACGATGCAATCAATAATTCGTCGCGAGCGAGCGCGTGCAAGGATCGCATTGATTTTCACCTGGGGTGCCCTTCTGTAAATGAACGTGTCGGGAGAAGAACAATGGCCCAGTAAATAAGACCGTGTTTCTTCGTGATACTCTGGTTTCAATTTTTTTTTCGCGACGCGGATATGTACGCGTGTTATACGTGCCGGCTAAAACGGAAATAATGAGCTCCAGCTAAAGGAATATGGCGTACACGTTTTTCAGATAATGGACCACGTGATGGCCGGCATCGAAGACATTCTAGGCAAACACGGAAATTACCACGTACGAGACAAGTACGTATATTTATTTCTATCGTTCGGGGAATTCTAGGTTAAGCTACGGGTTAGGTCGTGGGTCCGGGCTGGCCTAAATCGTGATACTTCTGATTTATGAGTTGGGCGATTTTTGAACTCTGTAACCTGGGTTCTGGTAGTTTTTTCATTTAGGATTAGTTTGACTACATGTACACTTGTCAAATTTATAAATTTTGAACTTTCTAAATTTTGTCCGACTTCTAAATCCTTGGAATCTGTCCTCGTATGTATGAAGCTTCTTTCCAAATCCCCACATTTAAAAATCTTTTGAATTCTCAAATATTCAAATCCACAAATCCTTTAATCACTAAACTTTCAAATCTTTAAACCCACGAATCCTCAAATCCATGAATCCTTAAATCCTCAAATTTTCAAATGTCTAAGTACCTAAATTTCACAACTTTCCAACCCCCAAATCCCTAAATGTCCAAATACCTAAATTCCCCAACTTTCCAACCTTCAAATCCTCAAACGTAGAAATATCTAAATTTCCCTATTTCCCACCCCCAAATCCTGAAGTGTCTGACTACCTAAATTTCCCAACTTTCCAACCTCCAAATCCTCAAGTGTCTAAATACCTAAATTTCCCAACTTTCACACCCCCAAATCCTCAAATGTCCAAATATCTAAATTTCCCCATTTCCCACCCCCAAATCCTCAAATGTCCAAATACCTAAATTTCCCAACTTCCCAACCTCCAATTCCTCAAACGTCCAAATACCTAAGTTTCCCTATTTCCCTCCCCCAAATCTCCAAATGTCCAAATACCTAAATTCCTCAACTTTTCAACCCCAAATCCTCAAATGCCCAACCACCTAAATTCCCCAACTTTCCAACCCCTAAATCCCGAAATTTCCAAATACCCAAATTCCCAAATGTTCCCACCCCATCCCCAAATTTTTAGAACCTTCGCAATTCGTCTATGAATAATTCGCACTATGAAACGACACGCGAGGCACATAAACGTGTTAAAAGATAGAGCATAAGTTTTCGCGAGATAGTTGCTGGATTTATTAACCCTTACACCTCTACTGGGATACATACGTTTCACGAGATGCTCAAAATGCTCTCGAGGGACACGTATGATCTGAATGGGTACTAAATTCGACTATAATAATAGATTATAATCAGGTGGATGAATAGTGGGGGCGCATGTTGCTCGAGCGTTGCCTGCAACGTTGAGTATAACGTTGATAAATCGTTGAGGGATTTGCGCTGTTCGCTTTTCACGCGAATTCGCATCCTGGCTCGTTTAAATTTCACTGTTTCTCGGAGATACATCATTTCTCTAGTTATCGCGAGGAGATATATTATGCGATCGTTTTCTTATCCTTTTTAATTATTTTCTTAATCAAGTCCCTCGGTAATTAGAGAGATACTAGGAAGGAACTGCCATATTTATCTTTCTGAATATGGAGGTATATTGCTGTTCGATTTGTAGCAAGTCCATAGGGGGAAATTTTAACGCGTAACAATTCCACTGGTACTGATTGTACACGCTGCAATTCCACTCTTATTAGTTCAGCACACGGCAATTCCATCCGCAACAATTTTAAATCGACGCAATTCCATACATGGAAATTCCAGCGCCTCGCAATTCCACGCGTAAGAATTTCAGTTCATGGCAATTCCATGCGCTATGATTTCGGTGCGTGGCAATTCCACGCGTTGCAATCTGGGTACGTTGCAATTCCACGATTTGTAATTTTAAATTCGTCGCAATTCCACGCGTAAGAATTTCGGTTCATAGCAATTCCATGCGCTATGATCTCAGTATGTGGCAATTCCACACGTTGCAATTCCACGAATTGCAATTTTAAAATCGTCCCAATTCCACGCGTTGTGACTTCAATGCGGTGCAATTCCACGCGCCGTGATGTCAATATGTTGCAATTCCACGCGTTGTGATTTCAGTGCGCTGCAATTCGACGCCCTGTAAGTTTGCAACATCGCAGTTCCATGCGTTATGGTTTCGATTCATCGCAATTCCACGCGTTGTCATTTCAATGGACTGCAATTCCACGTATTGTGCTGTGGGTACGTTGCAGTTCCACGCGCCGTGATGTCAATATGTTGCAATTCCACGCGTTGTGATTTCAGTGCGCTGCAATTCGACGCCCTGTAAGTTTGCAACATCGCAGTTCCATGCGTTATGGTTTCGATTCATCGCAATTCCACGCGTTGTCATTTCAATGGACTGCAATTCCACGTATTGTGCTGTGGGTACGTTGCAGTTCCACGCGTTGTGATGTCAATATGTTGCAATTCCACGCGTTGTGATTTCAATGCGCTGCAATTCGACGCCTTGTAAGTTTGCAACGTCGCAGTTCCATGCGTTATGGTTTCGATTCATTGCAATTCCACGCGTTATCATTTCAATGGACTGCAATTCTACCTATTGTGCTTTCGGTACGTTGCAATTCCACGCGTTGTGACATCGGTTAATTGCAATTCCACGCGTAATTACTGTGGTGCCTCGCAATTCCATGCGTTGTGGTTCCGGTTAGTTGTAATTCCATGTGTTGCGATTTCGGTACAATGCAATTCCACGCGTTGTGATTTCAGTGGATTGCAATTCCACGTATTGTGCTTTCGGTACGTTGCAGTTCCACGCGTTGTGACATCGGTTAGTTGCAATTCCACGCGTAGTTACTGTGGTGCCCCGCAATTCCATGCGTTATGGTTTCGGTTAGTCGTAATTCCATATATTGTGATTTCTGTACAATGCAATTCCACACGTTGTAATTTTAATGTGTCGCAATTCCACGCATCGCAGTTACATTACGTGAGAATTGCACCTGCAACAATTTATGGTGATCTATCGAACGGTAATTGAAACCATGTCAATTCCATCTGCAATAGTTCAATCCTTAGCAATTCCCTGTCTTGCAATTAAATACATTGCTATTTAAAAAGATGCAATTTCAACGTATAACATATGTGATTACCCCAGTTAGAAAGAAAGTCCTTAGAAGCATTAGTGAAATGTTCACATCAGAATAAAATGAATCTCAAGAAATATTTGTCGATAAATTTTTCACACAATACGTATAGATTATTTTCCTTTTTAGATTCAAGCGGTTCGATAACAAATTTATTCGACCGTATTTGGTGAGAAACCACTACGGCGCCGAACCGAAGATATTGGAAACGTACTCGAAACTCGCTATGAAAGACGCCATGGATTACATCAGGAGGAACGCGTCCACCATCGGCAATATCAGCGGCACTGAAAGCATGTCCGCGATATTCCGCAACTACAGCAACACGGGACAATTCAATGGAAGGTACGGTGTTTTCGTTTCTTCGCTATTCCCTGTTCGTCCCGGTCCTTTTTTCGTTGCTCCACGATCCGTGCACCACTGAATTATCTCGCTCGTACTTGACCTGCTTACCGGCACAATAGGAAACGGCAAAGAATGTTCCTTTGATCACAACAGGTGCATCGCGTCCTCTCTCGATCCTCCGTAGAAGACATATTAATTATAGAGAAAGTTTTCTGTCGAGGACAGGACAAAACGCTGAACCGGATTCTTTTTCATTCGCGTTCAATCTGACGTCGCTACAAACCCTACTCTTCTGCTTCGCTTAATTCTATAATTAACGCCATGGAAATGACGCGACTGCAACGTCAAATAATCTTATTTTACCCGACGTCGTGTGTCTCCATTCGTCGCGGTTGCTTAACAATTTCTTTGTATGACGCTGCAATTTGTTTTACCGTTGCGTTTCTTCACAAATTTTAATTAGCGAGATAGACGTATAACGAAGCTCTGACAATGTTACTCGATTGTTATTCACGAGAATTTAGCTTCAGAATAAAATGAAGCAGAGTATACTTGAAACGAGTTAAATTAGCCATTGAAATATCCCCTAAAAATTATATTTAAAGACTGCAACATTTGAAAGGTTGAAAATATGAATACAAAACTTGAAACAAAATTTTAACTTTAATAAAAATTTCCATCTGTTAGATTGGGACAAAAATCATTTACAAAAGAGAAGATAGAATAATGCACACATGTAATGGGTTAAATTACATCCCTGCATTGCATTAAATCCAGTAGCAAATCTGATTAAATCTGTTCACAACTAAATCTGCATAAACCTACCGCTAAATTTGTACAAGTCTGTTCACCGCTGTCTGCAAATCTGTTTACTAGATTTGTTATAAACCCTATATCTATTTCATCCACGAATAATAAACGTTAATTGCTGTATGCATAAAACATTTGTACATATTGACCAACAAGCTCTGTCATTTTTAACGAAATATTAAATCGAACGTATGAATTGTTACACATAGTAATAATTACACATGCAAGAATTAATCAAGTGACAGTCTCTGAAGTTTTACTTAAAAATGTGAATGAAATAAATCCACGAAAGGGTACTTTTCGAGCAATGGCAGGAAAAGATAAGTCCGTGTTGCATGTATCTGGATTGAACGGCAAAGGCAACTCGAGGCAGAGTATCGATCTTGAAGTGGCAGCCCGTCATAAAATGCAGTCTCATTCTTTCTCCTTCCAGTCCAAGTTGCAGCCAGCTCGAAACGGGCTGGAATATTGATCTCCAAGAGCTGGAGTACAACCCTTCCAAGAAGGACTTGACGGACGCCAGGATCCACCACTTATTGGCCGAGGAACTTTGCAAACCTTACAAGAGGGTAAGAAAGTCGCGCTGAGCTGGAGACCGTGAACGTGTTTGCTGACGAGGAATGTTTAGGAGATATCGCCTCGTTGCAAAATCTTGCTTGTCGATATCCTTCTCTTGGATGATCCAATATAACGCGCCATTCAAATATAGTTACTCTATTTCACTATTTTGTATATTAGATTTATAAGGATATTTCATTTACAAGTAAATTTCATTTACATTAAATTTCATTTTTCTTTATTCGGGAGTTTAGTGTGAAAGGCACTGTTCATTATGGGATTTATGAAAGTTATATTAGGGCTCGTTGTTATATTAGGACCTCTGTAGCCTTGGTCAAGGTAGAGTTATGACATCTATGGCTACGCGTTGTATGTGGACACTTACGTTACCAACAGAGATGTAGGAATTTGGGGAATTTGCAGTATTTTCGGCTACTCACACAGTAATATGACAAAATTCTGCTGTAAATGTATGTGCGAAAGAGACTCATACAACATCAAAATGAAGGGTACATTCTCTCCGTTAATTTTCCCTGACAGCAATCACGTTATACTAGTTTAACTACTAAGTACTAATCTAACTAGTAAGTAGTAGTCTAACTGCTATGTACTAGTCTAACTACTGAGTACTAGTCTAACCACTGAGTACTAGTCTAACCACTAAGTACTAGTCTAACCACTGAGTACTAGTCTAACTATTGAGTACTAGACTAACTACTGAGTACTAGTTTAACC